TCATATAAACAAAAAACCATGCAAACTTACTAGCATAAAATCTATCACGGTTTACATTTGTGCAACACTCCAGAATTACACATACAAGATACACACAAATACACACACACACATACATACATACAAAAACACACATGCATACATACATACATACATCAAGTCATACATACGTGCACACATGTTGACAGAAATATCCACCATTGTTAAAAATCAATAATTTCCAGCACGTTGTTTTGCATCCAGCTTGGCCGATTATACATACATACATACATACATACATACATACATACATACATACATACATACATACATACATACATACATACGTACATACATACGTACGTACATACATACACACGTACATACATACATACGTACATACATACATAAAAATGTATGTTCCAACTATGTCAGTTACGTCAGGTCACATAATTGGTAGATAGAGGTACTAGGAGATTATTAGTACATGCTTTCGTCAACTCCAGATTGGATTATTTTAACAGTCTTTTATATGGTATAGTTGATAAACTGTTGTCTAAACTTCAGATAGTTTAGAACCAGGCTGCTAAAATGATATGCCGCAAATTAAAATTTGATCGGCATCACCAATTCTAAAGGAGTTGCATTGGCTGCGTGTTAGACAAAGAATCATGTCCAAGTTGGGTGTAATGGTATATGAGCTTGAAAGGTTTGGCTCCGAAATTTTTGGAAGATAAATGTATTAAATTTTCATCTATGCCATCACATGGGCGTCTAAGGTCTGCTGATTCAAACACGCTGTATGTTAGAGATCTGAATCTGAAAACAGCAGATAGAGATTTTGCAGATGCTGGGTCTGTTTTTTGAAACAGCCTACCTATTGAACTACGTATATCTGGGTTGTCATTAGCAGAGTTTTGAAAACGTCCAAAGACATACCTATTTGGCAACTCCTAGTGATCATGATCCTAGATGATGGCTTTGCTTTCAACATGGTATCCCTTAGCTATTAATATTAGCAATTTCAAGGAGGAGAGCGCTGATGAGAAGGAATTATAATTAGCGCTATATAAATTCAAAATTCAATTAAATTCAACACACAAACAATACACACACATACAACACACACACAACACACATAAGCACATCACTTCGTATAACAACCATCAAAAGTGCCAAAATTAATAACAACATTTATGATGAAAATTTTCAAATTAAATTAAAGGCTAAATATTAAAACAGCACTGAGTAGTACAATTACAGCAGAGAAAAACGTATCAATACTACAACGACAGATGGACCGAGAAGGATTGACATTAAAAATCAAAAAAATGAAATCAAAAAATGAAATCAAAAAATGAAACCAAAAAATGAAATCAAAAAATGAAACCAAAAAATGAAATCAAAAAATGAAATCAAAAAATAAAATCAAAAAATGAAATCAAAATCAAAACAACAAAAAATGAAAAGCCGAGAAAAAATATTTATATAATAAATTGTACAGCAATCTACTCGAAAGTTTGCCTTTTAAAAACACCAACAACAAAAAACGAATGAACGGATAGATGGATGAAAGAACGAACCAAACGAACGAATGAATGAATGAATGGATGAATGAATGAATGACTGAATAGATAAATTAACGAATAAATGACTAGCTGACCGATTGGCTGAATGAGTGTTTGAATGAATAAATGAGCGGATAATAAAGTGTACAGATGTCTATCTGATTGACTGAAATAGATAAATGAATGATTGATTGTATGATTTATTGAAAGAAAAATATAATATATATATGTATGTATGTATGTACATATATATATATATATATATATATATATATATATATATATATATATATATATATATATATATATGTTGGTAATAGACCATAATTTTTACAATATTCTATAAATTCTACCGAATGTTTGGCGTTAACAAATTAACAAATTAACGCCAAACATTCGGTAGAATTTATAGAATATTGTAAAAATATATATATATGTAAATGTTGGTAATAGAATATTGTAAATATATATATATATATATATATATATATATATATATATATATATATATATATATATATGTATATACTCAAGTAAGAAATATCAGAAATTAAATGAAATAATGAATAAACAAACAAACGAGTGAACGAACGAATGAATGAATGAATGAATGAATGAATGAATGAACGTCCGAATTAATAAATGAACGAATGAATAAATAAATTACTGAGCGAATGGATGAAACAATGAGGTGTTAAGCAATCCACATAACAAATAATATAAAATAAAAGTTTCATGATTATAAAACAATAAACATCCAACTACATAGTCAAACATAATTTTCCTCTCAGTTCATTTCAAGTAGAATAATTTCACCCCATCACAATTCTCCCCCCACATGACAAAGGCTTGTCATTGGTTGGCTTCATCTCGTGCCCCGCCCACATCTTTGTCGTCATCCAATGAGAACTGGCCGCTCGATGGTTCAACTGCCGAATCGTCAAAACGAAAAAATTAAATTTTTATAGGTTTTGGACAAAAACTTTTAATTTCATAGAATGAAAATATAAAAATTAATTATTTAAATAAAAAAAAAGTGAAATGAAATATCGGCCATACTTCTGGTTGTAGCTTTATAGCCCGAGAATAGCTGGATTCGTAAATTAAATTTCAATTAATTCATTTATTCACCTATAAATCCATTCATTGACTCAATTATCTAGGCATTCATTTATTCATTCATTCATTCACTCATCCATTCATTAATAAATTCACTCGTCCATCCATTCATTCATTCATCCAGTCATTCCTTCGTCATTTCACATTTTCCCATCCAACTATCCCCTAACTTCAGAATAAGATGGAGGCAAAGGTACGCTTGAACAGTCGCCGTTATTATTATTATTATTATTATTAACATTATTATTATTACTATTATTACTGTTATTATTATTACTATTATTATTATTTCTCAAAATTCTACGAGAACATTCGTAATTGTTATTAATGTCATGGAATATATTATTGTTGTTGTCGACATTATAACTGCTAAACATATAGTTATTATTATTACTATTATTATTGTTATTATTATTACTATCACTATTGTTATTATTATTACTATTATTATTGTTATTACTATTAATATTGTTATTATTATTGTTATTATTACTACTATTATTATTATTATTATTAATGAGATTATGATTATTATTATTATCAGTATTGTTATTATTATTGTTAATAAAATTATCAGAAACGTTATTAATATTATTATCATTAAAAAAACTACGAGCTAAATTTTCGAAATTATTATTATTATTATTATTATTGAAAAATCCTTCAACATCCCTTCTATCAACATCATTGAATAAGTTATTAACTAAATCCTCAACATTACTGCTGCTAATATTATTATTATTATCATTATTATTATTATTATTATTATTATTATTATTAGATCTATTAAAATTCCACAATAAGCTCCGGTTGGGAAAGAAATTATGATTCGTCATTCTCCACGTAATTCTGGGCTGTAAGACCGTTCGAGTCGAGGCCATCCTGTTATTGGCCGTCCATGCACTAAAATTAGTGTGGCTTACATTGCTTGTTTTCCACCAACAGTACATCCCAATGCCGCCAATTAGGAACAATATGATCACGAACCTGTTTTGAGGCAGTCAGGGAAATCTTTCAATTTGCAATAAACAATAACAAAGAATAATAATAAAAAATAAACTGACAGATAGATCCAGCGATCGTTGCTTTGTGGATAGAAGATGTTGGCATCAGGACAGCAGGCCAAACCTCCTAGACAGCATTTCTCAAATAGGGGACAGCTAAAAAAAAATAAGAACAACAAGAACAACAATTGCAATAACAAGAATAATAAAAATAAAATAATTAAACATACAATCCTTGAACGCCAGGGCAGTATCTATGAATAAATGCCTGATCACCAGCACCATAATCCTCATCAAAATTAACATGATTCTTAATCATATGAAGATTTGTATTATTATTAGTAGTAGTAGTAATATTATTATTATTATTTGTGGTGAAACCATCAGTATTATTTTTATTATTCTTCCCACCATCATCTTCATCATTTTCAATACGAATGGTAACAGGCTGGTCATCTGTTGATGCCATCTGTGAATTTTTATGGGTTTGTTTTTTAAAATAATTGTTTTAATAATTTATTAATTTAATATAAAAATTATATTAGTAAAAAAGAAAAAACATACTAGAAATGTTTGAAGGTTGAAAACGAGCAAATAAAACCCTATATTAAACAAGCTCCTGGACATAATTATAAAAAAAAAATTGTTACTCGGATAAGTTATAAAATTTGATCAAATATTAAAACATTATGACAAATTAAATTAAAAAGCTAATATAATTGCTATAGTAATTTTATGTTATGTAAACATTCGAAATAAAAGTAAAGCAGCCAAATTGAGTCCAAAACTGTATATTTGTTAATAAATTAATATTTTGTGTTTAATTTATTATAAAAAAAAGAATTTTTGGTAATTTTTTCATTAATTTGAACCATTAAAATTCAAAATTGAAATTTAATTTTGTCTGCAGTTCAACGCTTCATTATTAATTGGTTTTAAAAGTGAATTTTAAAAATGGCGACCCTTCATCGGGTTTTCTGTAGATTAGGTAAGTTAAATAAAGCTCAGTTGCTCTCCAACAATGTTCCGATCAGTTACGTGCTCGTCAAATCAATGGCTTGTTAGTAGATTTATCATTTTCTTCAATAAGTTCCAATAAATTCAATTCATGACCTTGATTCTAACTTTCCAATTCCTAGAGAAGAAATGATTTGATAAATTGATTGATTTGATTATTTTGTTTGATGTTGATCATTTGATCATCAAATTTTGGTCGATATGATTTGACTTTGTTTGCTTAATTCAAAATTTAAATTTTAAAAAATAAAATTGTTTTTTCATTTTTTCTTCTAATTCTTTTATCAATTATTGATTTAAAATAGATTGGAATAAAGATTGGAAACCTGGCCCTTATCCAAAAACTGAAAAAGAGCGTTTAGCTGCTGCTAAAAAATATAATTTGGTGCCACAGGACTATAAACCATATCCGGATGATGGGATGGGATATGGAGATTATCCAATGCTTCCCCATAAATGTTCAGAAGCTAGGGATCCAAATGAAATATGGGACATTCCTCATGTTCGAAGAAATTATGGAGAACCGGTCTGATCAGTTTGTTTTCAGTTTTTGTTTTCATTCATTTGCTTGAGTTCAAGTAAATTATAAATGTCAAAAATACATAAATATCACCATGAATCTTTTATAACGTTTAAATTTTTTCTTGCCAGATGCATGTTGATGCAGATATTTTGTCAGAAGATAGGTGGAGTCCCGATCTTAAGAAACGTTATAGCTTGTTGGTTATTTTCTATTTCGTTTTTTCTTCAAAAAAACAATACTTAACTTAAATAATAAGTAAATTGACAAAATAATTTTATAAATAAATATACAATTAATATAATATATGTTATTGAATAACTTACTTACTGAATTACTCTGTGAGTTACTATGGATATTTGATTCAGTTCTTACATGCTGGCATGGCTCGTTGGTGGTGTGACAATTACCATGTTAGCACAGCATCTCAGCCCAAAGGATGGCTATATCATGGATTTGGTTAGGAGGATAAGTTTGTCAATCAATTTTTTTTTTAAATTTAACATTCGTATTGTTTTATTTGTGAAATTATGTATTTTATATTTAAATTTCATCAATTATTTTTTTTTTTTATTATTTTTTTCTCCTCATTAACAGAAACCCAAACAGCTCTGGCAGCCGGGAGTGACTCACTACTCATTTGATTTTGTTGGTGCTGACAATGAGCACAAGAAATCCAGCCATCATTAATTTTATTTTTCGAATTGTTGTCTAAATAATTAATTTACAAATTAATAAATATATTGATAAATTAATGAATAAAATGGGACATTATTGTTTTTCAATTAAATAGAAATGACTGTGACCTCTTTTGTCTATGACTGAATGATAATATTTCGTCAATTGATGGCTAAAGAACATCTTTTGGTAATAGAGTGGTGAGTAAAATGATGCTGACAGATGTGGTGGAGATGACGAAGATGATTAAGGATGTAACAATTTTGTTGAAATTTTGTTACAAAATATGAAACGTTCTTACAAAATGGTTACGTCCTGCGGCATGTACTTTCTAATATAGCTAGCTTTTATGTCGGTATTCATTGCGGTTTTGAGTTTATGATGCATTTTTCTCTGGTTTTCTAATTACGCATCCGTGTCAGTGTGTGCTTAAGGTGAAACGAATATAAAAAAAATGTATATTTAGATTATTTTCGGAGAGTAAAAACATTCTGAAGCTGGTAACACTTTGAAAAACGCAATTTCCTGAAACCTAAATGAATAATATAAATATATTTTTTTTTATCAAAAATCGAATTTTTCGAAAATAAAAATATTTCCTAGAAAATATAACTAAAAAATATCATTTTTCAAGTCTCAGATTAATAAAACCACCTCAAAAAATCAAATTTTCTTCGACGAAATCACACAAAAACATCCAAAAGCACAATTTACGAGATATAAATGATTAATATACGTGAATATGAACGGAAAATAATATTTATTATTATAAAAATGTACTTTTTGCCAGAAATATGACTGAGAAAATCATTTTTTAAGCTAAGAATGCAGTGAAAAAACCATTGGTAAAAAGAGCCAAGTCTATAGTATGCAAAATATTTCAAACATTTCCCCTTCCATAACTTCCTTATTATTTTTTGCTTGTTTTTTTTCAAGAATTTTTCCAATTTAATAATTAAATGTCAAAAAATAGTTAATTTCATTTATTTAAATAAAATATTTGTATATTTATTCATTCTATATTATTGTGGACGAATATTTTTATTCATTTGAGTTTCTTATTTTACATGTCAGGGTTTTTTTAATTTAATTTAATTTTTTAATCTTTTTTAATTTAATCTTTTTTATTTTATTTGGTTAAAAATTTAATTAAAAACAAGACAGAGGTTAATATATTAATAATTGTTAATAAAATAAAAGTTGACAAAATACTAATCTTTTAATATTAATTTAAATTAAAATGTAAAAGTAAATCAGCATTACTGTTACTGTTAGTTGTTAGTTAGTTAAGTTAATTTAAATTTTAATTAAATGAAGGTTAAATACAACATCACATTACAATACATATTACACATTACACTAGATAGAGATTACATTACAATACATATTACACATTACACTAGGTTAATATACAATACATATTACACATTACACTAGATAGAGATTACATTACAATACATATTACACATTACACTAAGTTAATATACAAGACATATTACACATTACACTAGGTTACCGAGTAATGATTTGTTGAGCAAACTCTGTAAGTAAGATGTTATAACGTAACATACATTACAAACCAGTTACATTAAAAATTTCATTACTTTACAGTTTTACACTGCAGTAACATTAGGCAAAGAATTACTACCCACATATTGCTAAATTAATACTAAGAATATCGACATACTTATGGAGTGTTTTTAGAATACCACAAATAATACATCACAATACAATACAATCACATAATATAATTTTGAAAATTCCATATTAATTCATAAAATAAATTTTTTTATGATTTTTTTTAGCAATTGCCTACTAGTGAAGAAACTATCTAATTGAATGAAATAAAGTTATATAGAAATAAAAACAAAGAAATATAGGTTTTAAATAATAATATCAATAATAGTATCAATTTCTGTGTGATATTAATAATTAATTAATTACTTAATTAACATCTCTAACTATGGCTAGAGCCAATAATCTCAATCAACAGCAAGGTTAATTAAAAATGAAATCCATTTAAAATTTTCATATTTTTATTATTTTATTGTCATTATTACTAGTTTATAATATTGTTTATTATTATTTTTATTATTATTATTATCATCAAAGGGAAGTTTAATACTAGTATAGTGGCGCTTGATATTGGCATGACAAAAGTAAAAATACAATATCCATGAAGAAGATCCCTACATAATCACATGCGCTGTTTGTGTGTGTGTGTGTGTACATGTGTGTGTGTGTGTACATGTGTGTGTGTGTGTACATGTGTGTATGTGCATGTGTATGTGTGTGTGTGTGTGTGTGTGTGCGTGTGTGTGTGTGTGTGTGTGCAGTTGTTTGATGTAGTATAATTACTATTTACACTCATAAATAATTTCATTTTTTCAAAATTTGTAGATCTACGTAGGAACTTGAATCTACAATTGCCACCACTACATCAACAACAACATCAACAGATGCATCAACAACATCAACAATTACAACAACAACATCAACAACAACAACGTCAACAACATCATGACAGACATGATAATGGTATTGCCAGGCATGGTGCTATTGGTGGTAGTATGACCGCTTCAAGGTCGTTGAATACTCTGAGAAACCTGGGACTGCCCACTCAACTGTTATTATTATTATTATTATTATTATTATTGCTATTGTTGTTGTTGTTGTTATTATTAATGTTGTCATTGTTTCAGGCAGAGGTTGCAATCTAATAGTTTAGACTGCGCTGGCAAGTTGCAAATATCACCAGAACTAGTTAGTCTATTGTTGTTGTTGTTGTTGCTGTTGTCGTTGTTGTTGTTAATGTTGTTGTTGTTTTTGTTGTTGTCGTTGTTGTTGCCATATTATCATTGTCATCATTATTACTTTCAGTATTGTTGCTCTTAATCTTATCATCATCATCATCATCATGATGAATCTGAATCGAAATCTATAACCGCCAACATCATCTTCATCATCATCATCATCATCAGTACCATCATCATTATCATCAGTACTGTCATCATTATCAATACTATCATCGTCATCGTCACCATTGCGCGATTGGTAGAAATTTGATTTTTCTGCGGAGGACCTCGTGGACGAGGGGGAGATAGGACGTGGGGCGTACGGGACCGTCAATCAAGTCCGCTACAAACAGAGCAACATCGTCATGGCTGTGAAGGTGATGGTTATGGTGGTGGTGGTGGTGGTGGTAGTGGTGGTAGTGGTGGTAGTGGTGGTGGTGGTGGTGGTGGTGGTGGTGTTTATGATGGTTTACCTAAATACACCAACCACACATCCATACGACCACACATACACACCACACGGTCACACGTTTACACCACACATCCACACCACACATCCACACGACCACACATCCACACCACACACGGTCACACATCCATACCACACACGCCGCACCACACAAAACGAGATATACGCTGCTTCTTTGGTCTGACTGAGCTAACTCGCTATTGTAATGATGATGATGGTGATAGTGATGATGATGATGGTGATGATGATGACGACGACGGTGATGATGATGGTGATGATGACGATGATGGTGAAGGTAGCAAAGAACAGTAACACCATAAACAGAGAATCAGATCGACTGTCGATAATGAGGGGCAGAAGAAATTACTGATGGACCTCGATGTTGTTATGAAGAGTAGCGACTGTCCATACATTGTCCAGTTCTATGGGGCGCTTTTCAAAGAGGTTTTGATGGTGATTATGTTGAGGGTGAACGAATGAAGGAATCAAGCAATCAATCAACCAACCAATCAATCTATCAACCAATTAATCAGCCAACCAACCAATAAATCAACCAATCAATCATTCAATCAATCAGCCAACCAATCAATCGACTAGCTAGCCAACCAACCAACCACTCAATCAACTAACCACTCAATCAACCAACCAACCAACCACTCAACCATCCAACCAACCATCCAACCAACCAACCAGCCAACCAATCAACCATCCAACCAACCAACCAATCAGGGTGATTGCTGGATCTGCATGGAGTTAATGTCAATATCTTTGGACAAGTTCTACAAGTTCGTCCACTTCACCCTACAGGAGATGATACCGGAAGCTGTCCTTGGGAAGTTAACTGTGGCCGTTAGTGATGATGATGATGATGATGGTGGTGGTGATGATGGTGGTGGTGGTGATGGTGAGGATGGTGGTGGTGGTGATGGTGAGGATGGTGGTGATGATGATGAGGATGGTGGTGGTGGTGATGATGATGATGGTGGTGGTGATTTTGAATGTGATCACGATATTTCGTCTCATTCCGTCTCATCATCATCATCATCATTATTATTATTGTTATTATTATGATTTTTATTTTTGTTATCATTATTATCTTCATCATCATCATCATCTTCATCGTCATCACCAGATGCTCAAGGCTCTGATATACCTGAAAGAAAAATTAAAAATCATCCACAGAGGTTGGTGAGTGATTGGATGATAGGTTGAATGAATGAATGAATGAATGAATGAATGAATGAATGAATGAATGAATGAATGAATGAATGAATGAATGAATGAATGAATGAATGAATGAATGAATGAATGAATGAATGAATGAATGAATGAATGAATGAATGAATGAATGAATGAATGAATGAATGAATGAATGAATGAATGAGTAATTTGATCAGAAAAAAGGCTGGTCGATTTTTTTCAAATAACATTCGTCGTCATAACATTCATCATCATTTATCATCATCGTCGTAATGACCAGCATCATGATCATTATCGTCACGTCTAGACGTCGTCCTCATTATAATCATCGCCGTCTTGTCTAGACATCACCGACATCATCATCATCATCATCATCATCATCGCCTACACGTCTAGACATAAAACCGTCAAACATACTACTCGACCACACTGGTGCAATCAAACTTTGCGATTTTGGTATTAGCGGCCAACTTGTCGACTCAATCGCCAAAACTCAAGATGCCGGTTGTCGACCATACATGGCGGTACGTCTGTCTGTCTGTCTAGGTGTTTGTCTAGTCGTCTGAGTTTATTTCTCTGTTTGCCTGGGTGTTTGTGAATGCCTGTAAAGTATGTCTGTTTGCTTGTGTCTCTATCTTTTCTGACTGCATGTCTTTTTGCATGTCTGCGTGGATGTCTGTAGAGGACTGGGATTGGTCTGTCCGGGTGTTTGTGTTTGTTTGTATTTATGTCTGTCTGTCGTTGTTTATCACGCATTGTGTCCGTTTCAATCTTCATCCTTCTGATTCTCCATTCATTCAATGACTTGTTCGTTTGTTAATTCTTTCATTCGTTCATTTATTCATTCATTCGTTCGTTCGTTTGTTCGTTCATTCATTCATTCATTCATTCATTCATTCATTCATTCATTCATTCATTCATTCATTCATCCATTCATCCATTCGTTCTACGTCTCCATCACCATCACCCCCTTCATTTCATCCTCACCACCATCAGCCCGAGCGGATTGACCCGACTCGATCGAGCAAGGGCTACGACATACGCTCCGATGTCTGGAGTCTCGGAATCACATTGGTCAGTGACTGGTGACGATGATGATGTTTATGATGATGATGGTGACGTGTTTACCATGACACACATACGTACACGCAGACATACAAATACACACATACAATAATACATGGCTATGATGTTTGTGTGTGATGTCACACACACACACACACACACACACACACACACACACGCTCACACACATGCACGTACATACGCACACACGCGCACACACACGCACACAGGCAAACATACAAATACACATACACCAGTACACACAAACACTCCAACCTAGTACGAGGTATCAACTGGTGTGTACCCGTACCCTAATTGGAGGACCCTGTTCGAGCAGCTGTCCAGGGTGTTGGACGAGCCCTCGCCACAGCTTAGCGGGGATGATGCCAGATTTTCACCAGCGTTTATTTCTTTCGTTAACGTTTGGTTAGTAGTTGGTGCGTGTGTGTGTTTGTGTGAGATTTTGTGTGGCATGATATTGTGTGCGTGTCATTCATTCATTCATTTATTCATTTATTCATTTATTCATTCATTCACCTTCTTCTTTCACTCCTTCCTTCAATCAGTCTGATAAAAGATTACAGCCAGCGTCCAAAGTATAATCAGCTTATCGTTAGTAACTCTCAATTTTTCATTACTATTACTATTACTACCACTGCCGCTACTACTACTACTGCTACTACTACTACTTCTACTACTACTACTACTACTACTACTACTACTGCTACTACTACTACTACTACTTATTACCAGTACTACTACTACTACTACTGCAGATAATAATTTCGTAATAATGATAAATAATAATGGCAAATAATAAAAATTTCAAATAATAATAATAATAATAATAATAAATTACTACTACTAATAATAATAAATTAATAATAATAATAAATTAATAGTAATAATAATAATATTATTAATAATAATAAATTAATAATAGTAATAAATTAATAATAATAATAATGATAATGATTGGAACTGCAGCGAGAACCGTTCATAATGAGGTACGAAGAGGCGCCTGTGGACGTGGCCGGCTACATCGGGTGCGTCCTTGAGAGGATGCCCAACGATCGGTCCTTACTCGAGAGCAACTACCTCTGATCATGATGATGATGATGATGGTTGAGACGACGACGACGATGATGATGATTGTGATGATTGTGTTGATGATGATGATTGTGATGATGATGATTGTGATGATGATGATTGTGATGATGATGATGATGATGATGATGATTGTGATGATGATGATGATGATGATTATGACGATGATGATGATGGTTGAGACGACGACGACGATGGTGATGGTGCTGATTGGGAGGGTGATGATAGTGATGATAATTGGGACAGTGATGATGATGATGATTAGGATGATGATTAGGATGATGATGATGATAAGGATGTCGATGATGATGATAGTGATGATGATTAGGACGACGATGAGGATGATTAGGACGATGATGATGATGATGATGATTGGG